TGTGTGAGTGTGTGTGTGTGTGTGTGCATACACAAGCATGAATAATACATGAAAAAAGCCTGTAAGGATGTAAACCAAGTACTAACAATAGTTCTTTCTGGGTGGTGTGATCATGAATATTTCAAATTCCTTTTAATTTGTCTCTGTGTTTTGTTTTTCTGCAGCAACAACTATGTGTTAGCATAGTTAGCAGTGATGTTTAATTGGCAATTAGGAGATTATTAGTGAGTTCAGTGGAGTGGTGGGGAGCAGAGCCAGGCTGCCATGGCTGATGAATGGCAGGGGAGAGTGTGTAGACGATTCTTTTAAGAGGCTGGAATAGAGAAAGGCAAGAAATGAGGTGGCTGAAGGTGGGGGAATTGGAGAAAGGGCTGTTTTAAGAGAAACTCGAGCATGTTTATAGGCTGGGGGGAAGAAGCCAATGAATGCCAAGGAAGGAAACAAAAATACGGAGAGGATACAGGGAGAATTGAAAGAGTCAGGTCCCAGAGGAGGCTTGCGAGAATGAGACCAGGGCCCAGGTGGAGGAATTCATTTTGAATGGAAGGCAACTCCATCCTCAGACTAGAGGAAGAGAGGTGAGGATGAATGGAGTTATAAATGCACTGATTTCATCCACTTATTTATTTTATACTCAGCCTCATTTCACAAAAGACTGGAGGGGTTTCTTCAGATACGTTGGTAGGTTGAAAGGGAGCGGAGGTGAAGTCTCCCTGGAGGCACTTTCTTCCTGGTGTGAGAGGCAAGGTCCCCTACTGAGAAAGAAGCAGGGGTGTCCCTATGGGCCTTGAGGAGACCAGCAAAGGTTTGGAGTCTGGAAATGGAGAGGAAGAGACTGAGAAAGGGGGGCTAGCTGGACCCTTTATAAAGGTCATGGGTTGGAGCTGAGAGCCCAGATCTGGCCCAGCGCCAAGCTGTGCAACTGTGGGATCTTCTCCAGCAGCTGGAGGTGGAGAAACCTGTGCCTCTTACTTGCTCTGGCTTCAGGCAAGTTGCATCAGCGCTCTGAGCTGCAGTTTCCTCATCTGCAAAGAGGGAGGGAAACATCAAGTCTGGAGGGCTGATGTGAGGATTAAAGAAAGCAATGGACCGGAAGCAGCCTGGCAAGCAGGAGGGGCTCAATCCACATTCATTCTTTTATCTCTCCCCCTTCAATGGGCCTGAGCCTATGTTACCTGGATGGAAAGGGGCATGGGGGGTTGGTACCTCGTGTTGATGGATGCTGTTAGACACAACGTTAAATACAGGTGACTCCCTGACATTCATGTAGTTCTGTTCTATTCAGTTGCTGCAAAGATGGAAATAGGGAATATTGAATCATTGCCCCTTGAGGAAATACAGCATTAGGTTCCTGGGAGCCTCTGGCTACATTTTAGTCAACCGATCAATACCTAACCTTGTTTCACGTGTGTTTCTGTTTAAAGATGCTGTATTTAATATATGTTGTTCACTCATTAACACTGAATTGAGGGCTGGTAGCACTATAACTCATGCCTGAATGAAGCTTATCAAACACACACGTTCTCTCCCCAAGGTCCGCCAGAGCCCCCGTGCTTAGAAACACCAGACAGCACTTCGGTGCTATGCTTGGGAGCCACTTTAAAATAGCAAAACCACCAACCAAAAGCCCCAAAGTGAGAAAAATGTGGCACCAAATAGACCATGAAAAGCTGACGGCACGACAGCTGGAACAAAAAGGCAGTGGTGCCCTGGTCCCACCTCTGCTGGGAACACACGTGCCAGGCAGTCCAAATTCTGGCCACCCTGGGCCTGCGAACGTCCACAAATGACAGTGAAAACACCTCAAGTATTGACTTGGGGATTTCAAGTAAATTTGAGGAGTAGGCGAATTTGCAAATAATGAATGAATAATCCATGAATGATGAGAATCAACTGTGTCTTTTTTCTGATTATGAAATTAAATAATAAACAAATAAAGCTATCTAGTGTAAGAGGTAAAGTCCTCCCCCCACCCTAGCCCACAGATAAACAGATGAACACACGTAGGATCACTATAGCATTCTATAGATTTTTTTTCCTATACAGATAATGCCTGTGCACATGTGTAGGACGTCGTGTGTCTGTGTCTGTGCGTCTGTGTGTGTTCGAGTCTTCCTTTCTTTTTTTCACTCAACAGCATCTCTTGGGTGACTGTCAAACAAACAAACAAACACCCTGATGTTATTTTTTGGAGTATGAATGGAAGTGGATGGCATGCACTGAAGTCGGGATCACCAAGTCTTGGTTCAGATCTCTCAACAGCATCAGGGTAGGGAAACAGATCCAGAAAGAACAATGACTTGCCAAACTTAAGCTTAAATATAACCAACAGTCTGCATTGAGTGTAGTGTTCAGCACCTTAATGGGGTAAGTTCAGGAGAAGAACAGCTCAAGGGGTGAAAAGAATAAAAGCTGAAATGTATTGTGAAAGGCCAAAGAGACTGTGACTTGCAGCCAGAGAAAACCATGTTCTATGCACTTTGGAAGACATTGGTGCTAGATGTTAAGAGGAACTTACCTCCTCAAAGGAGTTAGACAATACTATACAACAGTACCGAAGCCCCTTCTGTAAAGAGCTGTAGGATAGCAGGGCTTAAGCTGCTGCAACAGAGACCCAAAATACAATGGCCTCTAGAAAACGGAAGTTTATTTCTCACTCTCAAGTTCACGCTGGTGGGTGGCTCCACTCCATGTAGTCACTCAAGAACCTAGGTTCCTTCCTTATCTTTGCACTGGTAGCCTCTTTGAAGCATTATTGAAGCTGGGTTCCTGGCATATCTGTGTTCCACAACAAAAGAAGAGAAAACAGAGAGAGGAAGAGTAAAAGCCTTAAGGACTATTTCTATTTACATTCTATTGAAAAGAATTTAGTCACAAAGCCATTCAGCTGCAAGAGCGCCTGGAAAATGTGAGCTCTAGCACACCAGCCATTTCTCCAGCTGCTATATTGCCCTGAAAGAGGAGGATGGATTACATGTTGAATAAATGAAGCCCACTGTTTCATCCATCATCAAGCCTTTTTCATTTCCATTCAAATTCTTCAATAATTTAGACCTGCCCTCTTTACAATAAAAAAAAAATAGAGATGCATGTCAGTGCATCATTTGGTATTCTTTTGTTTGGCGAGAGAGAGCACACTGCTATTAAACTTGCTTAAACAATAAGATGGACCAGACCATCTCACATATCTAAAAGTCTAGGCTCTGCATCAGTGCACCAGCTCCCTAGGATTCTCCCCGCCTCTGTCATGTGTTGGCTGCATCCTCAGACTGGGAATAATTCCAAGTATCACCACCAAACACATTTACATCCAGCAAAGGGGGCAGACTGTTTTTGAAAGGGAAGAGACCCTTTGCAGAAGCTGCCTCCCCATCCCCACCCCATCCCTAGGCTTCCCCTCTGGTTTTTCAGGCCAGAGCTGCATCATACTTCCAAACCCAAAGCATCACTGGCAAGAGGAATGCAACCACCTTGATGGACCTGTACCAAACAGGACTTACTCCCAGAGCTAGGCTGGGGTCAGCCGTCCCTTGGTCTCATGGGGAAGGGGGCCACCTGAACAAAACCAGGGCTCTGACTGCAAGGAAAAGTCAATGAATGGTTGTTGCATGAGCTACCAACTTGTTTCTGGCAATGATGGAGACGCTGAACCAGGTGATGATGTAATGGAGGACACATAAATAGCAGAGGAGTAAACTTCAAGCTGCTTCTTAAATTGTACCTCAGTAAAGTTTAACTCCAGTGAAGACATTGCTGGAAGAGCCAGAAACTGGGGAGTCACCCTCATGCCTCCTTTTTTCTCACCCCATATCCAATCCATTACAAAAGTTCACAGTGTCTGTATTTTCAGTACCCTGGCTTTCTCTCCTTACTCACTGTCACGGCCCCAGTTCAGATTGTCATCTCCTGCAGGCACTATGCCAACAGTGATCTACTGGGGCCCAGTCTCTCTTCCTGAAATCCACGTCTTTGCTACTGTGACTCAGCTACACACCTTCACTGTTCACGGAGCAATTCACATATGCAGACACATCAGAAAGGGTCCCTATCTTCATCTTGCTCCTTGACTTCTTGAAACCCATAACAGATCAGGTCAATCCCCTGCTTGAAAGCCCAGTGCCTTCAGGAAATCCTTTACCATGACCCTCAACGCCCTCCATCTCACCCTAGCCCCTTCTGCACCCCACCCCCAACAGTAAAGAACCACTTGTTCTTCCCCCAAAGTGCCTTTCCCTTTCACGCCTCCATGCTCCTGCTCCTGCTGCCCCGCTGCCTAGAAATCCCTTATCCCCTCTCCATCTGGCAAACAAGACAAGGTCTCCTATTACTCTTTCTCCCTCTCTTGCTCCACTCGCCCCACCCCTACACCCTACACCCCTCATCACACACATACAATATAGCCCTCCAGAAATATTTGCTGAGTGGAGACAACTCCTTAGATCAGACATTAGTCAGGGCCAGGGCTTTCCAAACGTCTCCCCCAAGCACCCGTCAAGAAAATGAAGAGGAAATGGGACCCCAAGGCTTGGGAATGCGAGGGTCTTGAACTTACTCTAAGCAGGCAGGGTAATTCTCGAGTTTTAGCTTTATATTGTATGCAAAAATTGTTATTTTATGCAGATTACACAATGTATCTTTGTTTTAATACAAAATATTATTTTTCCCATATCTTCGCATTGATGATCCAAAAAGATATCCCTCCTTTACTCGTTATCCTATCAAATTAACTGTCCCCCCTCCCACCACAGGGACCCCCTAGCGAGACCTGGATGTTGTTCCAATTGCAGACCCTGAAGAAACAGCTGGGCTTCGCTCCCCCGGGAGCTAGAGAATGGTGGGGGCGGGAGGGGGGTCCAGTAGCTGGAGGCCCGGCCCCGCCCCTCCTCTCCCCCCGCCCGCCGCGAAGGCGGAGTCGCTTGGGCCCCGCCGCAGGGGCGGG